TGTGTGTTCAATTATACAGAAATACTTGAAGCATTCGCTAGCTGTCCCATCCTGCGCATTTGACTTTTTCTTAACCGATCTGTATGAAATTTTCTACAGTACATCTTATTGTACCATACAATATTTGTGTATTCTGAAAAAGTCAATTGCAATTTGTATTGGGCTATGAACTTGATTTAAAGCGCTGGGGTGGTAGCGGGGAGGTGGCGATAGGTATAAAATGAAAGATACTTGACATATATAATATTATAGAAGCAACATATAATGTTTGGTGACTCCAGCTCTTATTATTTGCCCAATTTGCTCAAAAAACAGGATGTCGATATCGATTTTTATCTATTACTTGGAAACGGAGTAGGTTATCGATTATCGGAAACAAACTCGATCTGCGCAGGCACTAGGAGGACCCACATCTAAAACTATATGTACAAAAAAAAAATATATTTTACGAAAAAATAAATAATATAATAGAAATTTAAAGTAAGTAAGCACAAAATATTGTATAAAAATGTATTAAAACTTCTATCGACAGTCGAAAGCCATACTGTTTTTCCGCATTACTGTTGGTTCGGCTTTAATTTATGAGCCTTTGCGGGAACGAAAACGACGAAAGTTTACAAGTACGCTTACAAAACTTCAAAATTAGAACACGCGAAAACAAGCACATGGCAACAGTTACGCGAAATCTTAGACAAGGCGACTTCTGCAGCCAAGCGGCGCGTACAACATTTTTGAAAGATACAACGGCAGCTCATATCACTACCAAGCCGTCATTATAATGAGGAGCCAAATCAGGGTCCCACAGTGCTGGCCTTAATGAATACAGTCAAAAAATGTTAGCCCATTATTGTATGCCTTGATTTTGCATACAATGATAGGCGCCCCATCCACGTCACAGAACAAGAGATGTGTACGCTCAGCCAGGGTACAATCCATCCTACAATACTGCGACGAGGTAGAAGAGAAGTTGACCTTGCCGACAAATAAGGCAAACATGTCTTAAGACATGGAAACTTATTTATTTATTTATTTTTTATTTATTAATGGTCGACAATACGAGTGTCTTCCTCATTATTCAAAAGATAAAATTATATGCTAAAAGCCTAGTTAATGAATACAATTTTTTAAATAGCATCACCGAAGAATGGAGGTGTTTTATTTGCCAGTCCGGCCAGCTGTGCATCTTTTCGAAGCTAATTTTGTCAGTGACGCTATTAGAGCCTACATCTAAGCAGAAGGTTGTAAGTAGGAAAAAAGTGATCTCAAGTAAAATTAAAAATAATCTTAATTTGCAATATGAATAAAGAAAATACAATAAACAGGAAAAAGGAGAGTAAGAAGATTGTTAATGAAGTAAAGAAATGTAAGTTAGATAAAGAGTATTAAGTAGATGGGACAAAGAGAAAAGTAATGAAAAATCACCGACCCGGTGGGGAACATTTTTTCAGCCTGTCCGGTAAGCTATGCCCCTGCTCATAGCTGGGAATCGTCAGCGACTTCCCGAAGGTATGCGGAAAGCAACGATTTTATTAGGGAAAGAGAAAGTTCGGTAAAGAAAACGTGATGCAAACTATTAGATTTTTTACATAGCACCCGAAAATGATTGCGCATAGCGTAGTCTGTTGTACACGTAGATAGGAATAAGGGCGATAATTTCTGGTTGGTCTAGCCGGAACAGAAAATTGAAGAAGTCCTAGAAGAAAAGGAGAATCTATGTCGCCAATAATCAACTTATGTAGAAGGACAACACTGAGAATTGTCCAACGGTTGGTTAACGACGGAAGGTTAAGAAGAAGCAGCCTGCTGGAGTAGGATGGCAACCGAAGATTAGGGTCCCAATTTAATCCTTGTAAGGCAAAAAGCAGAAATTGCTTCTGAATAGATTCAATTCGATCCTGGCTATTGATATACTGCGGAGACCAGATGCAAGAGCAGTATTCAAGGATAGGGCGAACAAGAGAGATGTACAGAAGTTTTGTTAAATAGGGATCGTTAAAATCTTTAGACCATCGTTTAATGAATCCAAGTACACCTTTCGCCTCATTAACGATGGTATATAAAGATTGACACAGAGTTTAGAATCAAAAAGAACGCCTAGATCCTTAACTGTTAGTTACGTTGCATAGGGATATTGTCGATTGTATAACTGACAAGATAAGGTGTATTACGGTTAAATGTCATAAACATACACTTTGGACAATTTAGATGCAATTGATTGACCGAACACCACAGTTGCATAGCGTTCAAATCGTCTTGTAGACAAGAACGGTGTAGGGGATTAGTGTATGATAGAATAAGTTTGACATTGTCCGCATACATGAGTACACGGGCATGTGAATTAACAGAGGGGAGATCATTTATAAAAAAAAAAAGAGTAAAGGTCCAATATGACTAACTTGAGGAACACCAGAAGTAACGTGAACCCGTTTAGAGGTAATCAGCCCCAGCATTACTCTTTGGGTCCTACCTTTTAAATAAAATGTAATCCAAAGCAAAAGAGACGAAGGGAAACCTATTCGATCAAGTTTAAAAAGTAAACTGTCATAGTGCACAGAGTCAAACGCCTTACTGAAGTCGGTGTAAATAACATCAGTTTGCATTTTCGAAAGGAAAGCATCATTTACCAAGGAAATAAACTCAAGCAGTCGCAGTTGGTCACAGTTGACCGATTCTTTACGAATCCATGTTGAACAGTGGAAACAATTGATTTGCAGAAATGCTGCAAATTCGAAGTGATTATTTTTACAAATTATTTAGGAATAGCGGACAGTTTTGCAATGCCCTGTAATTTTGTATAACAGACTTCCTACCTTTCTTGTGAAGAGGATTGATATAAGATTCTTTCCAAAGAGATGGAAAGACAGACAATTGGGTGACCTTTGCCAGAAATTCAGTGAAGATGCACTACGGGTATTCATATCTGGTCTAAATCGCAACCGGACAGACGTCTTATATGCAACTCAGCTACTTAATTTACCTTCAGCATGGGAGAAGGCTCAGGAATTGGCATACGACAGGTATGCCCTCGCCGCTAACTTCGCTAGGGCCCTAGAAGAAAAGGCAATCAAAGTTGATCAGCATCCCCAATACCAGCAGCAAAACGATAATTGAAAAGCCCGGCAGGGGGGTCAACGTCAGTCCGATGTGCCACAGGCAAAGCACAGTAACAACGGCCAGTCTGAGCCCTATTACAAAAAGCGTTTCGGTTCGGGTAAGCTTAGCGTGCAAGGTCGAACACCTCAGACCACATAGCCGACCAAAGGATGCCAAGGGTAGATAACATTACTCCCAGGGCTTATGAAACCGAGGAGGCGTACAACGAGTCCGCCGCCGAGATACTCACTGAACTCGAAACTGAAATCCACCCAGAATACGACAGTCATAATGTCAATTGTTTTTGGGGTATGATATTTTTGATCGATACACACGCGTCCAAGAATTATATCAAGCCTCAGAAGTAGATACCCCGCATGCTATACACTCCATTCACGGCTCCAAAAACATAAAGAAAACATATTTGTTGAGAGTGTTTGGTGTGCTCGTTGTGTATACGTTTAACGTATTGTATATGTTTGACGGGATAATTGGCCTTGACCTGCTGACACAAGTGGGGGCTGTCCTCTGTCTGAAAAATAACGTGTGCCTGTCTCCGAAACTATTCAATATCACAGGTGGCCGCTCCTCCAGTAATTAAGATAAGCTTCTTAAAAAGGTAATAAGATAACAAAAAGGCTTTCGCTGATTCTAATGAGTTCTGTCGACAGATAATGATCCCATATATTCAAAATTTTTGATTTTGTCGTATCCGAAATGGACAACCTGCTTAAGAACGGCATAATCAGCAAGTCACGCTCGCATATTAAAATGAAAAAAATTGGTCTATAAGTTAAGGTCGAAAAAATGCCCATCCAGCTGAGATAAGCTTTACGCAACACTTTCGAGAAAATCAGAAACATTTTAGTATCCGAAGATGTCATGTCATGGCTCACTACCTTTATGCAATGAGAGACATTAAGCACAAGCATGTGCTACAAGCCAGTCAAAAAAGATCATGTCGCTGACGATTTGTCGCGTCAAAATGTCAATGCGCTTGAGCTCGAGTCCGGAATGCGGCTACAAAACAAAGCGAAATATGCCTGTCGTACACCATCGAGACGACAGAGAAACGTATAAATTGCCTTACGAATCCGATTATTCTAGATGACTCGCTTCCCATTGAAAAGATAATAAATTTTACTTGGTGAAAAGACTAACTGCTGAGTTTTATCATGTCGCGCTCATAGAGGCGCACAGAAAAACGTTAGACAGGTTATGTCTGACTACTACCAAAAATGACAAGAATTGCGAATGAAAATTTATTCACAACCAAATTACGACAGGCACCCAAAAAAACCAAGACCTTGCCCAAAACTTTACATACTGTTGTTTTTTCAAAAAAATTTTCTTGACGCGTTGAAAAACTCTCTAACGGATCCCATAGCTTCGCGTACCATTGAAGATGACACTCATGGTACTAATGAACTTCTCTCAGTATGCTAAGCAGTGACAATGAGTCCGCGATTAAGTCCGGCACCATCAGGGCTTTAATTTTAAATAATTTAGGGTCAGCATCGCCGAAAACCCAAAGGGTTCAAACACCCAAAAACCAACGGGTTAACCGGGATGGACAGAAAAAGGTTTTTGAGGTAGGGGACTAGGTGCTAGTCAAATTCAACAGAAGACTAAGAAACTTACTCACCCCCTTATGTTCAGAAGAATAGGTTAATGCTGATTTTATATGTGTGGGAAGCACGTTATTACAGTTATTAGTTAGATGTCTCGAGTACTTTGCGCGGACATTAGAGGCAGCTATCCTAAAAATGCAGTTAACTTTTCTTTTTTTTTCCTTAAATTGAATCAGTTTTATTTTTTAAGTTGCACCGAATTTAATTTAACAGTATTAAGTTAAATGTATTATTTTTGTAGTTTTTATTAACTTTATGTATTTGAATTACATTTAATTCAACTTCAGTACAGTTTATTGTTTACATAAGAAAAACAAATCAAAATTCAACACATCTGTATTCTTGAAAAGAGTATCTGTTACTTAAAGATTATTAATTAGGTTGGTTTTTTAATACTATACCATGCATCGAATTGCTCAAAAGTAATCAGTTATCTTTGTTTGCGATGTTTCCACATTCAATTTTAAATTTAAAAGTGTATTTTCCAAAGAAACAAGATTTGGTAAGAAATCATCACAATTGTGATCAACGCAAAGGCTCCTCAGCAATTTAATGGCGCAAAAACCTTCAATAAAAGTACGGGTGTTAATGTCATCGCCATTGTCATCATCATTTTGGAGGTCTTCGTCTTCACTGTTTTCATCGCTTTTTTTAACTAGGGAACGAACAATTTCCTCCTCAGTTAAGTAACCATGACAAGACACATCTGCGTCAATATTCGTTCCAAGTAAGATACTGGCTCATTTACTTCAATAGAATCTCCGCCCTCAAAACTTAGGTTAAATCCCGTCTAAACGCATTGATTAGTTCAGAGCCACAATAATAATATGAATTGCTTACCTTTTTAAAACAAATGTGAATTGTTAACCCTTTTACTTTCTTCCATCCCTAGTCTACAAAATATAGAACATCCAGCAACGACAATGTTTTTAAAAATGCATTTGCGGTTTTTCCACAGTTTACAGCAATCAGCTGTTGTTTAACCAATATACGTCTATACTCTAATATAAGAGAGGGAATGATGCCTTGGTCCGTAGGATAAATTAAAGCCGTTGTATTTGGTGAATAAAGCAAAATTTGATGTTTTCGTAGTCTTTTACACTAGTGCGACTTGTTGCGTTGTTAATAAAGAACCACATTTTCCGCTTTTGGTTTCTCATTTCAACATCAAGTTGGGTGATTATTTCTTCCCAAATCTGGCTAGTCATCCATGCTTTCTTGTTGGCATAATATGGCAGCGGCACATTGACATTCTTAAAACAGCGTGGGGATTTTGATCTGTAAGCCTTGCTTTCTGGGAATTCTAACCATTTAACTGATTTCCACAAGTATAAAATGTAGCATTCGGCATTACTTTATAAAAGGGGCCAGTTTCGTCCCGTTCATAATCGTCGTTAAGCCTTGTAAAAAACTCGTTTTCCTCAGCCAAAATGATATGCCGATCAAGAATAACATTGTTTGATTCTTGTTGCTTAAACCATATATACAACGCTTCCTCTACCAAGTCGTGCAAACCTTTTCGTTGGCGCTTTCGTTTTAAGTCAGAAACGGATGCAGACTGTTGGATTTCGGCTTGCTTTTTAATTATGCGGTTAATTGTTGAACTGTCACACTTCCATGGCACTTGTACTTAGTGCAAACATCATTTTTGTTGTCAATATAGCTGCAATAATTTGCAGTTTTTCTTTAATGGTCAACCCAACAACGCGCTTTGCTTTATCCATCTTTATAATTTCACACTTAATAATGTAGGGCTATATGTACTGAAAGGTAAAAGACACGATCTAAGCAAAAAAAAATAAACAGTCATGCGCAGAACAAACAAACATGTACAAATCAAATAAATGTCGACTACAAAATTTGCCAAATTTGATCATAGAAGGCGCAGTTAACTTACATGATATTGATAGAAATTGGTAATAAATAACTGACGATATGAGGCGCTTAAGTGCAATATGCTGTGAAGTTAGATACACTTAATTAATTATTTTCATCCAAAATGAGGTCTTATTGCAGCGAAAAGATATTTTCAGGCAGCTATCTTACCGATGCAGCAAAGTATCAAGGCAACTAAGCAAATTATACTGTACTTGGACAGATAGCGTACCTCGCAAACTACATGACTAGCGAGACATACGACGACATGCGAAAATGTTTAGAAGTAGACACAGACGTACGAGACTTGGCGAACACTTTGGACTGCTTGGGCATAGCCTTGAAACTGATAGTCGGCACCCCCGACGCGAAAGAGTAACAGAGTAGAAAAATGACAGAGTTACAGTTGATCGGAACAAATAATAGCCAGGTAAGAATAAACACGAAAACTCAAACTGTTAACTGTTTGTTAAAGACGGCTAAAAAGAGCAGGTCGACACGGGTCACCTGTATTAGACTCTGTTAACCAAAAACAGAATGCTTCGCACCAAAATAAGCAACCAAAAGAATAAAAATCACCCATTCTAAATATCTTAATCCTTTAAATATCGTAAGCCCCACCATACTTGATCATGCTGACCTAGAAATCATTTTCGCCAAACAACTCACAGATACAACTCACTAGCTTGTTAAGTTTATCTAGCTTTAAGATGCTAGAATTCAGATTATATTTAAGAAAGTCACAATATACACGGTAGCCCACAACCGCTCCACACTGCACGTCCCCGACAACATTGTGGCGGAATGCAGGGACCAAGTATTGGCCCTGATAAATTGCACGACAAGCAGCGCACAACTCGTACGATCAGGGTCTTCATTCTGGTGGCATGGCACACACGGCCGAGCTATCTCGATCCGGTGGCCTTTGTATATGAGGCCACTGTCAGCTACGACGTAGACATCAAAACCAGAGTAGCCGGGACGAGCATCGTCATATTTGATCGCTATGAGCTGGTTAACGACTTAAGATTTGTTATCGCCTATTTAATTAATGCCCCGATCGGCAATTTAACATTACAAAAATCAAATGAACTAATTTGTATATAAATTACATTAATAATATAATATTTGGCATATCCGCATAATATTCTTATTATATATAATGGTCCTGGTCTGAATGTCTTATTATATAATGGTCTTGTGCAAATGATAGGCAGAAGAAAGCAACTCCGACCACATCAGGCATTTGTATTCTTTTTAAGCATCAATAGCTGAGCCGAACTAGTCATGCGCATATGTATGCTCGTCTTTTTCTATGTATAAAAGCGTCAATCTTATAAAGAGAAACCATTTTCCTCCTAGTGCTCGCAGTACTAGTTTGTTTTCGACAATCCGACTTTGCGAAAATCTCTTTAAGAGCTACAATCTCTACAATCTCTCTATAGCCACAAAGCCATAAAACAACAAGTAAGAGTCTCTACTTAGAAGCGCCTGACTAGAGGGTACCCTGAACCCTCTATTTCCCACACTAAAAGCCGCTCGGGTTACGTGCTAGTTTCCTTTAGTAGTAATAAACATAAAATTACTTACCATCTTCTCCGATCTTAATCTTATTGAGCTATTGAATACTTAAATATTCTTAAAAAATATATCATTAAAATTGTGTCGATCTAGCCATGACGGTTTGCCTGTCCGTCTGCCGTATGTATGAATTCAAGGATGTCAGAACCTATGAGCTGTAGGTCCGCCCGTGTGGATCGAGTTTAATTCCGATATTCAATAACTTGCACCGTTTCCAAGTAATCGATCAAAATATATATAGAAATCCGACTTTTAGCGCATTGGATAAATATAAAGAGCTAGAGTCAACAAATTTGACATGTAGTTTCTAAAATAGTATTTATATATCAAGTATCTTTTATTTTATAGCTATCACCACCTCCCGCTACTACAGCATAGCTTAAATGCATTTGACTTTTTGCGAATACACAAATGTTCTATAACACAATAAGATGATATAAAAAAGAAAAGATCGGTTAAAAAATACAATAGTTATTGAATTTCTATATACATGTAAGCACACAAATTCATGAGTGCATGCTTCTAATTTTATCAAAAGCATTGCAATTGCGATAGTATCGTTTCCTGTGCTGCTATTTTAATTCGATCTTTCTGCTTAAGGTTCAATTATTGCTACCGCTTTTGAGTATAGGCGATTTCGAACCAAATCGAGGAAATTATGTTTTTGTGGCTGGTATGCCCGTTGAGTCGAGGCGCAGCAAGTAATTCAGTCAGTTACGAGTTCGAACTTTACCAAGGAAATTTTCGTTTTTTAATATATAGTTTTTACTACAAACGAGCGCTAGCGCGTGCTACATTTGTTGTTGAAATATAGGGTTCAGGGTATACCCTAGTTGGGAGCTCCCGACTAGAACCTTTTACTTGATTTTAGTTGGGAGCTCCCGACTAGAACCTTTTACTTGATTTTAGTTATATTAGGATAAACGACCCCGAGCTGCATTTAATGTTGTTAAAAGTAGGTTCAAGGTATCCCCAAGTCGGGCACTGGCCAATAGAGCACTCTTACTGCTTTTTGTAAGTTTTCACAATTTTTTTACGAGAAATTTTGGCAGCTTGAACTTATAGTACAAGGATTATTCGATGTTTTTACAAAAATCAGCAGATACATATCGAAGTATCCATAATGAAAACATTGAGTTAAAATCGATAATATCAGTTTTTGATTTTGATTTTTATTTGAGTAGCTCTTTTATTCAAGGTTGACTAGTTTCAGAAAATAAAAACTACTACAAATTATGTAAAGCTAAGAACAAACAATTGTGCTTTAGTATTTACCTCATCAGCGACGCCTTGTGACTTGATCTGCAGCTCCTCCAATTCTGTTTTGGGGACCTGTGGACCAGGTATTTCATCAGAAGGATCTGCTGGCATGCTGGAAATAAAGAATAACTGCTTAAAAACGAGTACAATATATTTTCTTATTTATTACAAACTAAAAAAAGAAAGAAATTTCTAAAGGGTACAATGTGGTTTTATATCTTGAACTCATTGAAAATCGATAAAAAACAGGAATAAAAATGGTTAAAGGCATTAATATATTCCTGCAAATACATGAAACAGGCAGAAGGCAACATTTCCGCCCCATAACGTGAATATATTCCTAATCAGCATCTATAGCCGAGTCGATCTACCTATGATCGCCTGTCTGTCCTTCTTCCATCTGTCTGTCTATGTATGAAATTTTGAACGTAGGTCCTCTTAGTTCACGGTACTTTTAGAATTAGTGTGACTAAATTTGACAAGTAGCTTCTAAAATTGTATCTGTTATTTATTAGCTATCGCCAAACAGCAAATGTGGAGAGTGCACTCGCAATCGCTTAGATTAAGCGACAATTTGACAAACATATCCTGTGATCTCCAGGAGAGCACGAGCTTAAGGACTCCAATTAATTTCTTTTGCCGGCTAGCTGTCTGTGGGACCTGTACATTTGGATTTAGGTTTGGATTTATGTAAATTAAGTAATGAAAAATCAATCAATTTATGCAAAAAATTAATTAATACAAAGTTCCAACATTCTTGGTGAGTAATTTTCAGATCAATTTTGATTGTGCATATCTGGTTTGATTGTCCAACGTGCCGTGTTCGTTACTGCGAGGCAACACTTTGCTTATTGAGTTGGGCAGTGGCTGTCGCTTACGCCGATAAATATTTTATTGCTCACCGTCTGTGAACATCGTATGTGGCTTTGTGCAGATGCTGTTGCGAAGCATAATTGGAATACAGGTCTTTGCCGTTTACTTTCCGGTATTCATCCGCTCCCCTATTTTATTGATTAGGATTGGGTGGATAAACATTAAATATTTGTCTGGCAACTTTTTTTTTTATATATATTATTTTGTGAGTTTATTGAATGAAAATGTAAACGGTAATTGATGGACATCCTAAAAACCCAACGTCTTGTTGAATATGAACCGCGACTTAAGCTTGATCAACTAGGAGAAAGACGAAACCAAGTCAACAGGCTAATAAGGGACATATCCGGTAATTTGTAAAGGGTGATCAGAGGGCAGTTACTACTTGCAGCTATTATGCAGTCAATGATCTTAGTCTAGAAAACCGTCAAGCGTTTAACGCCAAACCCATTTATTAACGCCTTGGGCTTGTCAAGCAACATAGCCTGTGCATGAACTGTTTAAAATAATGCGCATGCTGAAAAAATGTGGAGGGTTGAAGTGTCTAGTGTGTGCAAAGCCATACCACACAATACTTCACAGGTCTGAGAGCGAGAATCCACAATTAAAAGCATCTATTTTTGCCATACCTGCTGCCCAGTAACAGGCTTATATATATATATATTATAAGTCATGTTTTTAGTGATTAACAAGTAATCTTAGCCACAGCTGTAGTACAACTAAAATATGGATTGGCATAACACTAACACACAAGAGCACTCTTGGATTTTGGATATCAAATAAACATTATTTTTGAGGAGTTAGCACAATACTTACGTCTATGTCAACATCATTATTGAAAATTTTCAGAAAAATCTTTGCAAGCCTCATCACCCAGACCTTTAGTCAGCATTTCTCTCGACACTCTGGTACAACGATTTTTGGAATCAGAACTGAGCCCAGGGAATACAAACAACTGAACAAATTATAAGTGAGCGAAATTTTAAACAGAATGTGGGTAGGGAGGAATCTGGCAGATTTCAGGTCAAATTGGCGTTTAGAATGAGTTAAAAAGTATTTGATTTATTCATTTAGACTGCCAAATGATGCCTTACTTGCGGAATATATAAATACAATGACCACCAAATTACACGAAGTTTCCATGCATCAAGCAAGACATCAACGTCAATGTCATTAAGGGAGACTTTGATGGTAGGTCCAACTATTCAAAGGGACTTATATAAAACCCTTGCACGATTTCGGTTGCACTAGTTTGCTTTACAACCGATACCTCAAAAATGTATCGATAGGTGTCTCCTGTCTCTATGGAGGATTGGAAATTTCATATGATTGTGTGGAGACAATATAGATCAGAAAGCTTACAAACATTTGAGCTCTCTGACTTATGACACTGCCTTCGCTCTCTTTCTGGCTTTATGCATTTTATCATAATCATGCATAATATAAGCCAGTTACTTTTTATGTCATTATGGAAGAGCTCGTACTTATTCGCAGACGTGGAGATGTTTCAAAACTTGTGGGCTTTAAGTAAGCCAAACGTTCCAAACGGTCCAAACGGCGCTCTCGCAACTTGCATACACTTATAATAATTATGTCGTGCTCTAAGAAGCCTTGCACGTTGCTGGCTGTGTGAGAATATGATGCATGATAAATGCGCAGGTCTCACTGGGCGTGATTGCCACAAGATCGCTGCAATTGCCAAGAAGGGCTGTAGCGGCGTTGGGCATGTCCAGATTGCATCGACAAGCAAATTGATTCCTCCAGAATGTATAATTCTATGAGAAATCAATTCTAAAAACTGAATAATGTGGCTAAGCGGCTTTCGAGTAATTTTGACTCGAGTTTTAAGTTGCTTGGCAAATACAAATTCGAGTCTCTAACCAATCGCCGGCTGGAGCCTCAACTTTTGCAGTTGCCCTCTACGTCTGTTCAGACACCAACGCCTTTCTTGTCCCTACCTAGCAACTTGGACTTATCTCCAATGTTGTCTTTATCGCCTTCCCCAAGCGACTGTCCAATTACCCTAGTTTCAAACCCTGTAGTAGTCCCAGTCGAGTCCGTACCTGATCCTCCGCCCCGTCAGCTCCTTGCCGCAAAGGTAGACCTGCGTGCAATCTTGCCCAGATTGTTAAAAATAATCATTGTGCCACTTTAGATCCTTCAACTCCTATATTACCCGAAGCCCCATCAGCGCCTACTTTAACGGTAGTTGCCCCTCGTAGGCAAGTTTTGTTTCTCGACCTTCGTCGGACACCATTCTGAGTCATTGGCAATATATTGCTAGCAAATCTTCTGCTAGCGTGTCAATAACCAAATTTACTTTCATCCACCCCTCGTGAAATATCATCATTCAAAATTATTGATATGTTCCCGATCATTTGTGATCCCAAATTGTGGCCTCCACACATGATAGTTAACGAGTTCAAGCCTAAAAAGCGTAACCAGCTTGTTTGGTCAAGTGACCGGTAGAGATAACAGCGACGGCTGCGTGCAGTAACAGCAGAAGACAATAATCATAAATACAGCTTAAGGGCAAATGATGTTTGCTCTTTGTAAGTTGCTGCCTACTCTCTTCATCGGCGCCTTTGCCTCCTGCATTGACGCTCGCTGCCCATCGTTCTGAGCGGAGCTCAATTTTGTTCGTTTTGCACATAGTTTTAGTTTTTCGTTTGATCACAAGCAAGGCACAGCTTTTTCGAGTTGACTGCCGAGCAATATTATAACATTTCGTAAACTATAATAAGTGCCCTGTGCGGTAAATAAATACAAATACAAAATATAAAACATCGAATTTCGTTGCACACAAAGCAGTGCTAATTAATTAGTTGCAAAAAGGCTTGTAACTACACATTTTAGTGACCTTTAGTGACTTGAATTTTCTTTATTACTTTTTCGTTTCCCTTCTGTTCGCAATTTGTTTATAATTTCATTTTATAATTTCATTGCGCATATTTACTATAAGTTGTGCGTTAAGTGCTGCGAGCCTCAACATAAAGTGATCAATTTAACCAAGTCTCTCTAATAACTGTACTTAACCGCTTGCTTGTGCATATGCATACAGTTTGTCGTTGTACATAGACGCCGTAGAAAAATCGACGTTAATCGTCGCGCGCTTTAACCAGCTATACGCTATCTCGCTCGAACAAACACCTGTGCCCGCAAATTTTGTATTGTAGTTCGGCTGTGTGAACTTTGTTGTGCGCTACATTAACAATGTTTCATGAAGCAAGTGTGCAAGTGCAAATGAAAATGAGGCGACATCTGCTAATCAAGTGGCGGTTGGAACACAGGCTGCAGTTCTTGAAGTTAAGATTAAGAATTTAAGTGATCGAGTCAATAGATTGTCTTCTGAACTTGATCCCGCGCGACTTTGCGATGTTGATGACTACGAACTGCAAGATTACATTTGCATGGCATCTGACTTGGAGGCGAAATTTGAAACATTCTATGATAGTTTGTTGGATGTGAGTAAGGCCAGCATTAAAGAGGATCTTCAGTCAAGCTTTGAGTCAATTATTAGGCGGCTACGAGTGTCCCTTCAACGCGAGCGCGGAAATCGAAGCAAGATTCAGCAGACTCCACATTGTTCCACTTTCAATTCCGCCGCAGCCGATGATCCGCGCTCTACTTTTGTTGTTCCAAACCACTCTCGATTGCCTCAACTTAAATAGCCGGAGTTTAGTGGAGGCTACACAGAATGGTCTGACTTCCCGAATATGTTCACCACGGTCATTGATAAGGATCCGTATTTGACCAACATTGTAAAACATCAGCATCTATGGTCATGCCTCAAAGGAACAGCGCTGGATACAATTCGCTCGTTGGAAATGTCAAACGCTAATTATGCTGCCGCCTTAGAACTGCTTGATAAGTGTTTTAATAACAAGCGTATTGTTTTTCAGGCACATATTGCTGAAATTTTGGGTTTAAGAAAGGTGGATAAGGGTGCGACGACACAACTGCGCGAATTCTCAGATAAGGTCAACTCTCATTTACGTGCGTTAAAATCGATGGGCAGAGTGGAACAGATTGCCGGCTGCATCATAGTAAACACACTGCTGCAAAATCTAGATAGCGCTACGCAAGCTAGCTGGGGGGATAATGCGCCGTTGTACGTCATACCATCATGCGAGCGGCTTACAGCTTTCAATGAGAAACGTTGTCAAAGGCTGGAAAATGCGCATCACGCGACGACAATGTACACGCCTGGCTCCCAGGTAGGCCAGAACAACAGTAGAA